TTGGGCAACTACTTCTTCCAACTAAATTGAAAAAAAAAAGGGGCTCAAAACAAGGCAAAACCAACACTGGGACCAAAAAAAGAAAAGTTGGTGGAAAAAGGAGAATATTGAAATCAGGTTTGGATGGTGGGAAGAAAGAACATTTCAAATCAAAATTATACCAATGTCTTGTGCATACATATCCACAATATTACCTACATTGTATAATTCCTATTTATCAGTTTATCCTCTGAATAGTGTTCTTTTCTCCATCTGTCACTGATTTGCGTTCTTACTGTACAAAACAGGCGAGATGGAAGGAAAAGTGAAGCACCAAAAAAAATCCTCATGCCCGCTCACTGTAACATCTGTTCAGTCATTAAGTAAACTTGCATTAGCTAAGCTTGTAAGGATAAATCAAAAGGAATGGAAATAACTTCAGCAGCTTTAGAATTAAAACAATGGTGGGTGGGGAAGAGTAAAGAAGCAGTGAAGCACTTGGAAAACCTGCGACTGTCTCCTCTTAATTTTAAAGAAAACTAGAGGCATCCCAAATGCTGCATTCCTCTTCATCTCGATTTGCTCCACCCGTTTCCCCTGTCCTGACCACACTTGAAGAACCACGTCCCTCTGATTTGAAATGAGGGACGGGAGGTCAGGAGCACCCCGGATCTGATGCCTGTGGGACGTAACACCTGCTTAAATTCACCAATGACCTTTTAATGTCTGCTGATGTCAAATAGGAAGTTTTGCATGTCTGTAAACAACTATGTCTCCTCGTTCTGTCCAGTTAAATATGGTGTGCCTCAGGGGTCGGTCTTAGAACCCATTTTGTTTTCCTTGTATCTGCTTCCCCTTGGACATATTATCCATAAACATGGCATTTCTTTTCATATTTATGCTGATGACACACAAATATACTTGCCCGTCAGATCCACAGACCCTGGAATGAGTTCACTTAACAACTGCCTTTGTGAAGTTAAAAAATGGATGTCGAATAATTTTCTCCAGCTGAACTCAGACAAAACAGAAATCCTGGTCATCGGGTCCCAGCAGATGGCAGTATTTGCCATCTGCAGTATCAAATACTGCCATCTGCTGGTTCGCTAGTAAATCACATTAAGCCTGTGGTTTGGTTTGATAGTAATTTAAATTTCGAGCAGCACACCACAAAGCTTGTTCAATCATGTTTTTATTAACTTAGAAATATAGCAAAAATTCGACCTATGTTAACTTTTAAGGACACCGAGATCATTTTACACGCTTCATCTCATCACGCCTGGATTATTGCAACAGCCTTTTCACCTGTTTAACCCAAAAATCTACTGATTGACTCCAGACTGTCCAGAACTCAGCTGCCAGGCTTTTAACCAGAACAAAGAAATATGACCACATTACTCCTATTTTAGCTTCATTACACTGGCTCCCAGTATGTTTTAGAATTGACTTTAAAATTCTATTGATCACTTTTAAAGCTCTTCATGGCCTCTCGCCTTGTTATGTTTCTGACCTTTTAGTCCCATACGCACCAGCACGTACCTTGAGATCCTCGGGCAGAGGTCTGTTGTCTGTTCCAGAGTCTCGACTGAAAACTAAAGGGGACAGAGCGTTTGCTGTCAGGGCCCCGAGGCTCTGGAACAGCCTGCCAGCCTGAAAGTCCAGATGGTAAACGTAAAACAGGACTCACACTGATCATTAAACATCAGAGATGAACCACAGTTTAGTTGCACAGTGAATGTTACTGCCTCCTGCAGGACATCTGTGTCACTGCAACAACAACAACAGAAGTAAGAGGGAAACCCAGGAACGTTTGATCTAAACTTCTACAAAATGTTTTTGAAAAGTGAAATCTTCATCACAAAGATATTTACAGAGTGGAGAGAAACTCCACTGAGGAACTTTACCTCCTTGTTTCTAATGAATCTGTCTCTCAGTGATCTCAGATCAGCCCTCCTTCATGTTCAGCCTGCAGCGCTGTCACTTCCTGCATGTGATTAAACTCTTTGTGTAGGGCCCCGTGTCTCCGGATGAGCTCTGAGTGAAGAAGCAAAACCAGATGAGCTTCTACACAGTCACTGCTCTCACCTACAGAGAGGAAGAGATTAACTGGACTGACTGAGTGGAGGAGCGATGGGACAGACAGCTTTTCTGCTCTGTAAGTACAATCTGATGAAAAACAACGTCACTTTAGAATTTACCTGAAAAAAGACAAAACTCAACGACAATGACACTCAATGAAAATAATTTAGACACTGCAGCTGGTGCAACAAGCTTTATTATGCTACAGACATGAAATAACAGTCACTTCTTGTACCGTTAGTTAATGTTTGTGTTTTTTAGACAGACAGACAGAAAATCACATCTTAAAAAGTTACTTTAATAATTAAGCCTTTGAGAAAAGAGATTAACAGAACGCAGCATTAATAAACTTTTTGTTCTACAGGAAATGTATTCTTGTACATAATACTGCTGAGACATTTAATATCCTCAATAATATACATATTTTAAATTATTTAAGGTTAGAAGATTTTGCAGTGAGCAGCAGAACTCAAAGTTTCTGGTCTGGTTGTTTGTTAAATCTCAACCTGAGTCTGGTTTCTCTTCAGTGCTGATCTCTCTGCTGAGCTGCAGGACCAGCGGAGGTGAGTCAACTCAAAAACTTTGCTCAAAAGCTTTTAGCATAACGCTTCCTGGAGAATACTGATATAAAATGTACCCAAAGAGTTTGAACATTACTAACGAAAATAGTAAATAAGTAAAATTATAGTAAAATACTTATACACAAAAAATACACAAGTATAACATACATAAACTCAAATGAATATTAATAAATTATTAACAGCCACAATACAGACTTAAGTGAAACTACCCAAAACAAAAAGGTATGTATCAAAATTTGACTCTTTTTTGACTTGACTGCTTTGATAATAATAGATCTTTATAATAAAAAGATTTGACCCATGTCTTAAAGGTTCAGTTTGTAATATTTCTGAGGATTTATCAACAGAAATGCAATATAAGATCCATGGCACTTGTCGCAAAGAGTAGGAGGTTCCCCACGTCATGAACCTGGCTTTCACCATCTGGCCATCTAATCATCCCCTGTAGTTACTGGCTCTATGTTTCCCTCCATCTCTGCCTTAAGCTGATGTATGGTGAGCGTTCAAGTGCTAAATGGCTGCTGTGCATCACCCAGGTGGGTGCTACACATTGGTGGTGGTTGAGGTGAGTCCCCCCCACTTCACTGTGAAGCACTTTGAGTTTCCCTGATAAAGCGCTATGTAAATTAATTCATTATTACTATTAATATAACTATGTTTTCAGTGGTGTGTAAAGACCTTACGTCGCCACGTTGCATAGACATGTTTCTACAGTAGCTGAAATCAGACAAAAAGCATTGCCAAGCATGTTTCGTCAATACGTTCTTCTTGTTCTACTTTGGTAGAATTCATGCAGTGAGTCTCATCACTGTGTTGAATACGTACGTTAGAAGGAGAAGAAGTAGTAATAATATATTATATATCATATACTGTATATTATAATGTTTTATTGCTGTACTTTTACTGTGTGAGTAGTGTCTTGTTTTTGTATTTTAACCCGTGAAGCACCTTGGTCAACCTTGGTTCCTTTTTCCACATATACAATAAAACCTTTTATGAAACTAGTTACAGTTACAAACTAGAGACTTTTTAATTCAATTCAAATGTGCAGAAATGTCATCATTATTTCAATGGTTGGCAGGTTTATTACTTTTTCAGAGGCTGCCATCTCAGTTGAGATGCTGTAACTATTGTCCTTTATCTAAATGTTGTTCCTGTTAACATTGCAACTTAAACACCAGAGCTGTGCAGCCTCTGAGAGATCCAAACCCTGGATAAAGTTAAAATAGTTTTATTGTGACTCAGATTTAAAGCATAACTATTATACTTCTGTAATAAAAACACCAGAGATTTATTAAGTATTTATTCATTTGGAGGCAAAAAAGAATTTCTAGTATGTCTGTCAGCCTTTTTGCCACTGAATCCATTTAAAATACATGACATACATAAATCAACCCCCCCCCCAAAAAAAAGTTTATTGTGAATCTTTCTTCATAATGCAGCTACTGAGCTGGTTGGAAATAAAATAATAATAAAGCCTGGTCCGTTTCCCTGAGCTCATTACTTCAAGGAACTGTCCCATTGATGTCCAAGCCATCATTGTTGTGCAGCATGTTAGCAACCGCTGTGCTCATTATTTGAATAAATCACTTAATAAATCATTAGCCACCTACAACTAAGTGACATTGGATTAACACAAAACCTGTTAGACTCTTCAGTAAATAGGTTCAATGTGTAAAATGTCAGGAGTTTCAGAAGCTAAAAATCTTCAGCATCAGTTTGGCAACAAGTTCAGAATCTTTTGTTCAACAAACAAGTTTCTTAAATGCAATGCTTGGACATCAAGGTTTTACTGTGATGCCCGTCTGGTCATTTAACTAAAAATACAATAACTTCCCTCCAGCCTCTCTGACTGTGAGTCCCAGCAGCTCTCAGCTGTTTGAAGAAGAGTCTGTCTCTCTGAGCTGTGAGGAGGACGACAGCTCTGCTGGATGGACGCTGAGGAGGAACACAACCAGAGAAACCAGGACTCAGTGTGGACTGGGGAAGATCAGCTGGTTCTTCCTGTAACATCACTACATCTTCCATGGACAGTGGAGTTTACTGGTGTGAGTCCAGAGAGGGAGCAACCAGTAACACCATCAACATCACTGTCACTGGTAAGATCAGACTGTGGAGTTAGTGTTGATGAAGCTGTGTGTAAATGATGAAATGCTGTAGTTTGTCTCTGTGTTGAGGTGGACCAGTGATCCTGCAGAGTCCTGTCCTCCCTGTGATGGAGGGACATGATGTCACTCTGCACTGTAAAACAGAGACCCCTCCCTCCAACCTCCCAGCTGGTTTCTATAAAGATGGCTCCCTCATCAGGACTGAGCCTACAGGTCACATGACCATCCACCATGTTAACAAGTCTGATGAAGGCCTCTACAAGTGTAACATCAGCGGTCGTGGAGAGTCTCCATCCAGCTGGATCTCTGTCACAGGTGAGGAGCTCAAAGATAATTCTCAAACTGACCTGTTTTTTTTTCTAAACTGGACAGAAGTTATGAATTCACTTCTGTGTGTCTTTCTGTTAGTACGATACAGCACCTCTACCTTTAAACATGTGTAACGTGAACATGTGCAGGTTAACAAGACTAATATTGGAACTTAGTTTTAAATATTAAATTAAAAATACATTAAACAAAATGGGTAAATATTTAAATCAAATTTGCACCCACTGAGAAAAGGCCAGAAGGAGGATTTTGTTGTATTTTTCATTTAAGTTCTTTTGATAATTATTTCCTGTTCATTTTAGGGAAACCCACCACTACACGTCCTCCTACGTCCACCTGTCTTTCTTCATCACCAGCTCCTCCTCCTCCCTCTGTGATGCTGTGGTCTGTTCCTCTGTCCTTTGTTCTGGTTTTACTGGTTCTGCTGCTTCTACTTTTCAGATGGCGTGTTCAGAGGAAACATCCAGGTTAGAACAGACTTATGGATTTAACACGCGTTAATATTGAAAGAAGACTTTTTGAATGGGATCAGACAAGCCGTGTGTTGAGCACAGACAGATGTGACAGGCGCCGCACTGATAAAATGACTGATTAAAAATTATCTACCAGATCATCATGATTTACCCACTGTTACATTCCCACAGTGTTTTTCCTAGTGACAGACGGATGACTTCGTGAACAACAAGTTGGGATTTTACGTCTTTACTGTTCGTAGACTCTATAAAACAAAAGCACTGAACATACTAATGTACTGCCATTTTATGGATGTGTGTACCCTACACATGTTACCATATTGAGAGTTATTTTAAGTATAAGTAATGATGTCCATGTCCAGTGAAAATTTAACATGTAAATTATATTGCTGTTCATTTTGGTTCATTCCAGTTGCTGAAGAAGAAGCTGCAGGAAATGACATCACAGAGGACATCACATTAAGTAACATCAGAATATCACATCGCCAACGGCAGCGAATCAGACGATGCAGAGGTAAATTATTTCTTGGTAGTAATAATGATGAACCTGAATCACCATCGTTGACTTAAATAAAGATTCTCCAGTTATTTTTCACGTCCTGGTTGAAACCAGGCTACAGTCCTCCTCCTTGTTGTCTCTGTAGATGAGGGTGATGCTGGGTAGTGGTGATATCGTGTTAACTCACGTGAGGGAATGTCGTTGTCGCTACCTGCTGGTGTAGCTAATAAACTGATTCTCAGACTTGTGGATTTCTTTCTACAGATTTCCACAGAACACTAAATTCCATTAATTGACTGGAAGCGAGCCACAAACGTACAAATCCCTCCCTGCTTCTATTGATATGACTTTGCACAACACAAATGTAAAAATACATATTTGGGGACTCTCCTCTCCACTAACGACTTTAGCCTGGCCGACAAACTAAATGAGTTCTACTTATTATTCTACGTATTTTTTAGAATAATTTTTACTGTGCAAATAATATTTATACACTACCATAGTCACTTTGTACTCCCGTGTCAATTTCAGTAATCAGATCGTTTTCTGTCCTTAAAACCACCATTGTTATTCTGCATTCATCTGTGGTACTTTCTTCTTTTGTAGACTATTAACTTCCTGTTTACACCAGCACAAGCATGCCCACTGTACGTGAATGGCCACTAGTGTTTTCAGTTGATTTAATATAGACAGAGATGAATTGATTGATTGACTGATTCTCAGCTAAATTGCTGGCGTGGACTGAGATCGATTTTGTTTTAAAACAAAAGCATTGTGTGGATGCAGCCTGATGTGAGACAGAAAGCTTGCGGCTGACCCTCCCACCCCAGACACAAACTGTTTCAGACACTCCCCTTTGACAAGAGGCTGCGGTCCATCAGGACTATCTCACTGCACATATTCCTATTTATGTATTTATATTGATTGTTATGCACCAATTCCCCAAAGCAAATTCCTTCTATGTGTGAACCTATTTGGCATAAAAACTGATTCTGATTCGTGACACTGGCTTGGATCTGCATTCTGAGAAGGTCTTGAATCGGCTGAACAGGGCAGGAATTAAGGAAATGTCCTTGATGGAGATGCTCCGTTGGTGTCAGATGAGCTCTTCAAGTTGCATGGGTTCGACTTCAAGGATATGTGTTGTATGGGAGTCTGTCTGTTGTGCACCCTGTAGTGAATCTGTTAAAAGACGCTAACAGCTCTGTGTTTGTCCAGTTTCCTGTTTCTGATAAAAACACTGCACATGTTTCACTGCAGGACTGTTGCAGGACTAAGGGATAATATAATAATAAGTCATTAGAGCTTACATTTCTCTGCATTCTGCTCAAATGTAGTATATCTAAATATATTTAAACTTTTACTCAGACATCATTATTGATCTGTTTGCTTTAATGTAAATAATTATTACATTAAGTGCTTAATTTTAAATAACAGAGAAGATGGACTCAGCAGACCAAAGACACTTGGTTGATTGTCTTCTGCATGTCAAACCACAGGAGCAACCTGTTGATTCCAGTGAACTGTGGCGTGAAGCTGTTGTGGTTTCACACTATTAGGTGGTCTGTTTTAGCTGATGTTTGTCTGTTTTGTTGCACTTGATCTTGTTTTAACATAGCGAGCAGCTTTGTGGTCGTCCAGTTCCCTGTTACAGATAAATACCTGTCTTTCACCCCTCACAGCCGTGGTGTTGAGAAGAGTGACAGCAGGTGGAAAATATATTAAAAAGTGTCTTAGACAAAAACATAAACAGTGAACATAAACATAGAAAGTGGCGTGAAAAGAAAAGGCAAGCTCAAAGACCGTTTTAAAGGCCCCCCAGAATTTAACACTGTCAATTATCTTTGATAAAACATGCTTGTTCTTTTCCACCTCTTCAATCCTGTGGCCTTCGTACAGCTGTGTAGCGATGTTTACTCTGTCTAGCCTGGCAAGCTTCACCATATTGTCCATATGTGCCCTCGTACACTCATGTTTCTTAATCTTCTCAGATAAATGTATTTGTCATTTACTCCTGTAACAGTCCATATTGTATCCGTTCTCGCTGTTTTAAAAAGCAAGCATGGGAAGCAAAATACGGCAACCAGCTAGCCAAGCTTTTCTATTGTACCAATTGCAGAGCATGTACGTACGTTTTAACTTTCTCGCTAGCCTGTAGACTGATTTTGATGTCAGCTGGTCTGGGCCAAGGTCTTTGACATGTAGTTTCTCCACCAAAGTTCTCCTCTCAAATGGATTTTGAAGAAGAGATCTTACTGAATTTGTGGGTGGCTGAAAGCCTGTGTCTTGAGTTCCCGCATTCATCATTGTCTACGACGTCAGGTGTCCCTAATCTTCCAGCGACTCACTCGGCTACAGGCATCAGATTGGCTCATTTGCTTAATTTATTGTTACGTCCCCGGCTTATCTAGGGGTGGGGGAGGAACAAAAGATTGATAACCCGGGTGGAAAAACCAAGGACGACTCAAAACATGTGTCAAGTATACGTAGTTATTCTTAGAGAAGAGGGCAAAACAAAAAGCAATCTCTGCTTACACGAGAGACAAATATAAATGTAAATTATACGAGGTTTCTAAATAACAAAGTACCTCCCAGCGGACCACACAGTCCCCACGCCACCGCGTTGGGGAAGCACGCATGGAGGGCACCCGCCGCTCACCGCACCGGCTTCCACTGCCCAGGGACGCTGAACCGACAGCTGCCTCCACGGGCCTCTGGCCCTACTGAGCGCGGAGAGGTTGCAGGTGGCAAACCGCCGGTCACTTCAAGCCACACAGTAAAACACACCGTAAACAATACAGTAAGTCGCACAGTACGTTACCCAGACTAATGTGAATAACCACCGACAGACAGGGATTGAATGAGTCACCACCACACCACGAGCACTCAACTGGCCCGGCTTACATAGCCTACTAATTGGCCTTGATCGGCCCCAGCTGTGAGCTCCACCCAGCTTCACTCAGCAGGCTGCACGTACACATCTGTGGGGAGAGACAGACACACCCAAAGTAACACAACTATAGCACCCAGACCTCATGGGTCATAACATTTATGTTGCTATGGGCATATCTTGTGTCAGTTATTGGCTGCGCTGTTGTCAATAACTAATATAGTAAAAAGAAACATCAAAACACTTTCCACCACCACATAAAGTTTAAAAGTTATTGTAATTCTACATGAAAAATAAAATTATTTTGTCATTATTGAGTGTTGCAGAATTAGTAGTACAGCAGTGAATCTACTAACAGTACAGTTGTTGTACCTGCAGTAATGTAATTTATATGCATTTTGTCTTCCAGAGTGTTATTCAGCTGCAGTCTACTCAGCAGTGAGAGGAACAAAAGAGTTATTGACAAACAGCCATCAGACCAACAGGACGAGAGGTACAGCTGCTCTTTATTTATTAACTTTGGACGCTGTATGTGCAGTTAACTCTTACTAGTATCTATTGTCACTTGTAGATCTCTTGCTTTATTGATGCTTGTATGTTGTTCCTTAAATGTAAGTCACTGTGGATAAAAGTGCCAAATGATTAAATTTAATGTAATGTAAATGAACAGAACCAAGGTTCGCTGTTTCCCCTGCCTCTGTCATGGAAAGGCTGAGTGCAACGGCAAACAAACTGAGGTGTGGATCCAAATGCAGACACTAGCAAAGAGGGTGTAGTTCAAGGAATTTAATTAAATAAACAAAAACAGGCTCACGACCGAGCACAGGCAGGCGAGAGTCCAAACACAGGGGTAAATCCAACAAAGGCTCAGAAATCCAGAAACAGATTAATCCAAAATACAGTGGCAGGACAGAACACTCAACATTAACGAGGATGCACAAGGACTAAACAGAACTGAGCACATTAAATACAGGAACAAACGAGCAGGAGATACACAGGTGAACGACACGAGGGACTAATCAGGCACAGCAGGCACACAGGAAGGTAGAGTGAAACAGGAAGGCAAATCAGACAATGAAACTTAAATTGAACAGATCAGAATAAAGAAAATACCAAAATGATCATAAGAACAAGCAGACACTAAACAAAAGTACAATAAACCAGGCAGAGGTAACGCAATAAATCAGACAAAGCTAAAACAAACTAGACAGAACAGGAACAAAGCTAGACACGATCACCAGACACTAGGAGGATAGCAAAGTAAAACAGGAAATAATGCATGCGACAATACTCAAGGACAGACTTGACAAAGTTAACAGAAGACACAGAACGGCATGCATACCAGACAGGACCAAGGCAAGACAGAGAGCACAGAATGAAAAGGGTCAGGAACAATAGACTAAACAGAGAACACAAAACCAAAACTTTGAGAACAGGAACCAAAAACCAAGATCACTCCACAGCAGGTCAGAGCACGACTAACAGCGTCCAGTATTTATGCTAAGCTAAGCTAAGCTAACTGCTTCCTCACAATTTTAATGTTAATGTTTAATGTGTGCTTAATGCAATTATCTAAAGACAATTCAGTAGTCATGGTCAATGATGAATAAGGTTGATCAGCTTACATGCTATCTTTCAGACTTCATCCTAAATTAGGAGATCAAACTTGAGCAGGTATCTGGGAATTGTTGCCCCAGTAATTTGTTTTATCCCACAGATCGTGCATTCTAGGGAAGTTTTTGAAACATTTGGATGTTGCAATGTAAGAGCGTATGTTTTGCTTCAACATTGAAGGGGATTAAAACTGCAGTCTGCTGACAATTTCTGCTTTTTTCTGTATCAACTTATGGCGGGAATGTCTTAATTTATTTAAAGGGAAACACTAAAATCAGGCTGCAGGTAACAATTCAAAATATAAAAATATAATGCAGTAACAATGAATTGTATAATGCAGCATTCTGTGTTGCTTTCAGATAAGTTTTCTACCGTAGATCAACTTTTCTCATTTATTTTCATCCTCACTGAGTCAACATATGCAGGCATGATTTAGTCTTCCCTCCTCTTTGGTGCATTTGGTTTGGGGGAGTAACCTCTTTATAATGGTTGTATTTATCATGCAGGTGAAAAGATGCCACGTGCACATTTAAATATTAAACGAAGGGTAAAAACAAGGGCAACTGGACTTGGATGAAGTTACTGGAAGACGTTTCGTCCCTCATCCAAAGGACTTCTTCAGTTCTGACTGCAGGGAAACTCAGCTATTTAACCTCAGTGGGGTCGTTGGCCCGGGTCATCGATACCACTGGTTCGTTAGTGTTCCTTGTTGCTATGACGTCAGTCGTTACAGTCGTTAAGACTACCTGTGGCCAAGACTGAATTTAAAGACACATTTAAAGAGGTTACAGGAAAAAACTAATCTTAGAGAACGGGCAAAAAAACAGAAATCAGTGCAGAAATTTCACCAGAATGCAGGAAATATTTTCAATTTTAATATAATCAATATAATAAATAGAGTTGTTGTCTGGTGATGACGTTTGTCTCCAACAGTTTCTCATGTTGTTTGAACTGTTTGTGTTTGTGTGTCCAGAGTTTCCAGCAGAGCCAGAGGTCGTCTACTCTTCACTGAGGCCCCATCCACACTACTGCATTTTTTATTAAAACAGAGACCTTTTGCTACGTTTGCGCCTCCCCGTCCAGACTACAACGGTGAAAACAAAGACCTAAAACAGAGAAGTTTGGGCGTTTTAGTGAAGATGGGCCAAAACTGAGGACTTTAGAAACAACGACGCAGCCTCTCACGTTCGGCACTCCGATCGGGACTTATAAGTCACGCAAAGCAGAAACACAATGCTACTGACAGAGTTTTTGACTTGGTATTCTTTTTATTATATTGTATACCATGCAAATAACACTTTTTCACCTACACTTGTACTGTGCATGTTGCGGTTTAGCTTGTGACGACTCCCAGTCTTTTTTCCGCTGCCACACTCCCGTGTTACAGTCATAATAGTCCCAGCTTGTTATTGGTGCATGTAAAAAAAAAACTTCTTCAACTGTATTTAGAGACCATCTGCTTCATGTTTACACTGGCATGCACATGCTTAGTGTACCTGAATGGCCAATAGATGTGTGTTTTCAGTCGTTTTAATGTAGACTGAGATCATCTCGAAAACACAGCTAAAACGTTGGTGTGGACGAGATCGTATTTGTAATAATTCTCTGTTTGTAAACTAAAACGGAGTAGTGTGGATGGGGCCTGAGGTAGACCTTCACACCTTCACACCAGTCCAACCACTGATGTCCAGCTGGCCTGGAACTGGTCCCCAGAGCCCCTCACACCTCAGCACATCCATTTATTAGATTTCACTGTCAAAGCTAAATTAGACTCAGGCAGCTACAAAGAGACAAATCCTCATACATAAACGACAAAATAGGTTGAATCTTAAATTTCCCAAAATGACATACTGTAAATGTCTGTTGGACAGAACAATAACATGTATGACCGTTCCCCAAAATGACGTACGACGCCCAGCGACAGGCATACTGGACTTTCAGTACGCTACATAAGTCACATGACGTTAACATGTGGTAAATGTTTTGCAACATTTTTAGATGTTTTTCTGTGTAAAATCAGTGACATGAAAAACTATAACTAAAGATTAGATAAATTGTTAAAATATATATATAGAAATTTTACTGTTATTTATATTTAATGATTTTATCAATTTTTTACTCTTGTTGCCCCGGCAACTTGTTTCTCTGCAGGTTCAATAAACTTCTTCTTGTTCTTGTTTTCCTCCTGTGGTTCTTTGGGTTTCACAAAGCTGTCGGATGGAAAATTTGAAGTTCTCTGGTTTGGCTGCGGCTAACAGATACTCACCTCTCTTCAGTTCAGAAAACTAAGAATAAACAAAACCACAACCACAGACCTGAACAGCATCGACCTCGTTCAGCTTCAGTACAGAGTGTCTGTTTCTGTTAATAGATTCTCAGTCTGTTAACTATGGAGGAGATTCAGTCTTCTTCTCTCAGAGATATCACACATCAAATAAATCAGCAGGTCCTGGTTTTCATGAGATTCTCAGAAACACAGCGACATAATGAAGAGAAGCAGTCAGGTTTTCATATGAACACTCAAACAGGGTTTTCTGGCTGTAATAATAATATTAATAACAATAAACCTTATTTTATTAATTTGTCGCAGAAGTCAGAAATAATTATTTCCTGCACAAACTGTTGGGGCTTTAATGTCATTCATAAAACTGCAGCTATTTCAGTGTGCAGGCCTTAAAGCTATTAAACCAAAAAACATCAATAAAACAAAAGTAAAAATGTCAAAGCAACAAATAAAAACAGGCCAACAAACTCTTCTGAAAGCTGATTTTCTTTTACTTTATTGAGAAACCTTTGAAAACCTCCAGCTGAACAAACAACAGAAGAAGAACGTTTAGCTTTGAAATGATCCTCGGTGGTGACATCAGCAATGACATCATCATACGGTTGGTCCAATCCCTCGCCATCTTCTCTGAGTGGAGACGTTGTCGTGGCAACAGGCAAGTTTCTTCCAGCAGAGATCAGTAATCATTTTATTAATCAACTGATAACCTGAAGAAAAGTTTTTGGCTTTTAAATGATTTTAAATGAAGCACGTTGTGATCGGGACATCGATTGATTCAGTGACTGATTGATCAATGGAGTAAGTTTTTTAACAGTGCGGCTCTGCGGATGCAAAGTCACCACTTAGTTCAGTCAGGATAAACTGTAATATATATATATATATATTTAAACTAGACATTCATAAGGATACAGAAACATTTAAGCAGCACTTTACATAAAGTGCAACACCACCACCTCTCCCCACACTATAAATAATGTAGCATAAGATCATAAGATTACTTCCAACAAGACCTCTTTGTGTGGCAGTAAGAACAAGTTTATTTAAATGTAATGCAGGTATTGCGTAGAAGCAGTTATCTGAGTGTGTTTCTTTACAATATAAAACGCCGGCACAGCACTGGAGAACATTAAACCCTGAATAAAAGAGCAGCAGTCAGTTTCTACCAGCCAACAGTAACGAGGAAGAACTGATCTCACATCCTGACTAAGAGGGGGGTGAAGACAAAATGAGCTCAGAGCTGCTTCATAGCAAACTCTGCCCTCTAAAAGTCCCTCCATGTTATTATCTGATTACAAACAGGTCCAGACATTTAGAGCCTTCAGAGTTCACTTTCAGTTCTCAGCTACAAAGTTACAGTTAAAGAAAGTTCATAATCCTGTTTTATTGACTTTACTGACTTTTGGTTACGTCTGCTCTAAAGGCAGGAAGCTGCTCAAAGGTCAACAAATAACTGATTTAAAGTCTGTTAGAATGTAAATAAAGAGTCAGACTGGACTGTCAGCTTCATGGTTTTAAAATGAGGACATAACGCTCGCTGTCTGTAACCTGATAGCCGGACGGCTGCCTGGAAGCTCAGGAGGGTTTTGGTTGAGCTGCTTTTGAATCCAGCTCCAAGCAACATTAACAGGATCAACAGCTTTGATTGTGTGAAATAAAAACATGCACGTACTCTGTGGATTAAGATTCTACATACCTACATTCAACACATAGATACAGTTTTACCAACATCATGGATCTGTACTCTGACTCAAGTAACATTTTGACTTTAGTTTTAAATTGTGTTTAAAGTCAAAGATACATAAATATCTGCCAACAGTGGACGCTGTCAGAAACAGACACATCACAGCCTCATGTCTCTGCAGCAGAAATCAGTTCAGCATCAGAAAGTTGGTTACAGGAGAAATAACCAAGATCATTAGTTTCCTTTTGTTACAGACTGAGAAAAGCAGTTGTGGATCAAGTATACAGAAACTAAAGTAAAAGTACCCATAACACACTACTAAATAAATACAAGTCCTGCATTGAAAATGTTACTGAAGTAAAAGTCCAAGAGAAAGAGTACAATCAGGAAAATGTACTTGAAGTATTAATTATCTGTATTGTTGTCTAAGAACATTTCACAGTCAGAGTTCCTGAGCAGCTCTCAGAGAAGACGATGAAAAATGTCCTCATGCAGGAAAACAGAGCTGCAGTGAATCCAAACAGGATCTTTTCCCCTCTGATGCAGGTCGGTGAGTGAACTACAGGGACTGAGCTCTTCAGGGTCGGACTGGGAACAAAGTCCAGCTCCGTCATCCAGAACAGACTGTTAGTGTTATAACTGCAGCTAGCAGGATGTTGAGCGGCACTGACATCAGTAACTGTTGATTTAAAACATTTTGCAGCTTCAGACCTGAGATTATGATTCTTTTCTCTCTGAACTTTTCACTTTTTTGGTCTTTTACCCGTTTAATTTGATTTGACCTCTGACTCTACCTGGATGGATGGATCCACTTGAAGGGGTGGGGGGAGGTGCCGACGGTCTGTACCACTTCCTGTAATAAACAATCAGCTGGCTGTTCCAGCATCAGGTCATATTGTTTGTCCCACAGAGCTGCTGGTCAGTCAGCCCATCTGGCATTAACCTGCCTCCAGGTGAAATCAGACGTGTGTCAACAGCTCAGGTTTATTTTACAGGAGGAATGTGTTTCTTCTGTCCAGCAGCACGTTCAGTCCACCAATCAGCAGCCAGAGAGTAACGACCAATCACTGCTCCCCACAGTAACCAGAGTGACTTCAGTCTGGATCCTCACTAATTCTCATCTGCTGCATCTGGTCTCTTAATCTCTCTGCAGGTTCTGCAGTTCCTCTCCGTTTATAGCAGGTTGTTGATTCCCTGTGGGTCTGTTATATTTTTTAAAGATCACAAAACCACCAACACCAAGAAGAAGAAGAAGAAGAATCACACAAACTGGCAGACCGACTCTCAGTCCAACATTTCTCTCCTTGTCACCTCCCTCCTTGTTTCCTCCCTCCTCGTCTCCTCCCTCCTTGTGTCCAGCTGTGTGACCTGCAGAGCAGAAACAGGTGTGAGGTATCAGCTGTCAGCAGGTGAACAGAATGTCAGACATTATCTACTGCACTTTGATCACATGACTCGTAGCAGCTGTTTCCTCTAAAGTCTCATCAGCAACATCTTTCTAAAACACAAACATCTGATCTGTGATGTTTCTCAGCTCAACTACCAGGAAGCAGCTTCACCTGAGAGACAAAGAGACACTCTGAGCTCTACACGCTGACCTGAGAGACAAAGAGACACTCTGAGCTCTACAGACTCACCTGAGAGACAAAGAGACACTCTGAGCTCTACACGCTGACCTGAGAGACAAAGAGACACTCTGAGCTCTACACGCTGACCTGAGAGACAAAGAGACACTCTGAGCTCTACACGCTGACCTGAGAGACAAAGAGACACTCTGAGCTCTACACGCTGACCTGAGAGACAAAGAGACACTCTGAGCTCTACACGCTCACCTGAGAGACAAAGAGACACTCTGAGGGCTAACTAGGAACAGGAAGTCCGGAGGCTGTGGTTGGTGGACGAGAGATGGCAGAAGGAAGTGACGGTTCAGGAAGTGAGTTAGGAGAGATGGTCGAAGGTGGCGGGAGTTATGAAAAGTGGAATATAGCAGGTAGGAAAAATAAGCGTAAAAAGAGCCTAAGATCGGATGGGAGTGATAGTGACGGGAGAGCAACTGTAACTGAAAGGAGGAGAGAGGATTCCAAGGCAATAGTAAAACTTGTGCAAGATGGGGCTTCATTCTGCGATTGGAATCCAATACAGCTAACTAAATCCATAAGTAAAGAAATCGGGGAGGTAAGGAGTGCTAAAATATTGCGAAATGGATCATTACTAATTATATGTAAGGATGGAGTACAACAAGGAAAAGCAGTCAGAATGAATAAAATAAATGGCAAGAAAGTACAATGTTCTCTGATGACTGACAGAAAATTGGTCAGGGGAGTTATTACAGGGATTCCAGTAAATGTAACAGCAGATGATGTTAAAGGAAATGTAACAAATGCCAAAGTGAGTGAAGTCAGACGTCTTAAAGCAAGCAGAAATGGGATTAAAAGTGACAGTCTCTCTGTACTGATCACATTTGATGAGGAAAGACTCCCGGAAAAGATCTTTATTGGATATATGTGTTATGATGTGAGGCCGTATGTTCCCCCACCTCTCAGATGTTTTAAATGTCAGAGGTTCGGACACGTAGCATCCGTGTGCAAGGGAAAGCAAACGTGTGGTAGATGCGGTGGAAACCACGAGTATGGCAAATGTGCAGAGGGGACAAAGCTGAAGTGTTGTAATTGTGGAGGAGAACATAGCTCAGCTTACCGCGGATGCGAAGTTAGTAAAAGAGCGGCAGAGGTGCAGCGAGTCAAGGCTACTCAGGGAATAAGCTACGCAGAGGCAGCAAAGAAGGTTTCAGGAGACGCGCAGGTGACAAGGCAAAATGACACTAGAAATAAAGATGCAGGGAAATGTGTAGGGTGCGATAAAGTGAAGGAGGAAACTCTGATTGTGAACAAGAATGACTTTGTATTCTTTATGGCAGATATTGTCAACTGTTCAGCACAGACAAAAAGCCGAAATGAAAGGATCAAAATAATTGTCAAATCAGCTGAGAAGTACCTTGATGTGAGGGGGCTGCACTGGGAAACAGTTAAAGACATTCTTAATGAAGATAATCTCAGACATGTGTTGGATCCTCTTAATGGTGCTAATTATACTCCAGTGGAATGCAAGAAGCTTAATTTCAAATGGCCAAGAGTTCAAAAAGTATATTGATAAATTAGAAGAGAAACCTGATATAATTTGTATACAGGAGACATGGTTAAAGCCACAGTTGGACTTTATTATAAAGGGATATACTGCTGTTAGGAGAGACAGAAATCCTGGCAACGGTGGAGGTGTTGTGACATTCATACAAAATGGAATGAGTTATAAGGTTATAAGTATAAGCACAGATCATGAATCAATTGCGGTTAAGGTATGGACTAATAGAGGTAATATTGGCATAATTAATTACTATAATCCTTGTGGGAAAATAAGTCTAGATATACTAGAGAATGTAGGAGGACTATTGCAAGATAATGTGATATGGTGTGGGGATTTCAATTCACATAACTCACTATGGGGTTGCAATAAAACCGATTTAAATGGTTTAGCAGTTGAAGAATTTATAGATAATCACTGTTTGGTATGTATTAATAATGGGGAAGGAACACGATACAATAGTGTGCAAAACACAGAGGCAGTGCTTGATTTAACACTGGTGTCTAGTGAAATAGCAGGTTTAAGCACATGGAGCGTGATCAAACATACCACAATAGGAAGTGATCACTACCCTGTGGTAACTAAAGTTGGCATTGAAGGTTTTTATGATGAGGGAAAGAAAACTCCCAGATGGAAATTGGGAAATGCTAACTGGGATGTTTTTCAAAAGATCAGTACAAACAGATTCAAGAAACTCAAAGAGGAGAACCAGACAGATGTAAACATAATCAATAGTACAATAGTTAATGAGATTATTCAATCGGCTGAGGAAACAATCCCTAAGAGTACAGGAACTAAACGGACCAAGAGTGTACCCTGGTGGAATGACAACTGTAGTAAAGCCATAAAGGCCAGGAATAAAGCATTTAGAGAACTCAAGAAACATCATTCTCAGGATGCATTGATCCAGTATAAAAGGGCCCAAGCAATAGTAAGGAGGACAATTAGAACACAAAAACGAACATTTTGGAGGCAGTACTGTAGCACTATTGGAAGGGAAGTACAGCTGTCAGATGTATGGGGCATGATTAGAAGAATGGGGGGATTAGAAGAAATTATGAGATACCAGTGTTGAACACTGGGAACAAATGGCTGTCAATAACTTAGAAAAGGCGGAACTTTTTGCACAAACATTTGAAAGGGTTCATAGTTCGTGTAATCTCACAGATGAGGCTAGGCAGTGTAGAGAGGAAATCTTAATGAAGAATCCCAAAATAACAGAGAAAAGGGAGGTGTCAGGAGATCCGTTAGATCTACCGTTTAATTTGTTTGAGCTAAGAAGAGCAATTACGAGTGCTCGTCAGACCACTCCAGGGAAGGACGCTGTATGTTATGGAATGTTGGCACACATGACAGATAGTGCACTAGACACGGTGTTGGGTTTGTTTAATAAAGTTTGGGATGTTGGCCAACTTCCTTTAGCTTGGAAACAAGCAATAATAGTGCCCATTCCAAAACCAGGAAAAGATCAGTCAGACCCTTCCAGTTATAGACCTATTGCATTAACCTCACACTTGTGCAAAATTATGGAACGAATGGTCACAGAGCGTTTAACATACTTCCTAGAGAGTAAAGCTCTTCTGTACCCGTACCAGAGTGGGTTCCGTAGAGGTCGGAATACAATGGATTCAGTACTGTGCCTAGAATCAGACATCAGGAAAGCACAGACCAACAAAGAAATACTGATAGCTGTATTTTTTGACGTTGAAAAAGCATATGATATGCTCTGGAAAGAAGGGTTACTTATTAAGTTGAAGTCATTGGGTATTGGTGGTAGAACATATAATTGGGTTATGAACTTTCTATTTGACAGGGAAATACAAGTAAGAGTTGGCACAGAATACTCCAGTGTATATAAGGTGGAAAATGGAACTCCGCAAGGTAGTGTGTGTAGCCCATTGCTATTCAACATAATGATAAATGACATCTTCTCTCAGGTTGAACAAAGCGTAGGGAAATCTTTGTACGCAGACGACGGGGCTCTGTGGGTAAGAGGCCGCAATGTGTTGCACGTCAGTAAGAAAATGCAAGCTGCAATAGCTGCTGTGGAAAAATGGGCAAATAAATGGGGATTCAAGTTATCTGTTGCAAAAACACAGGTGATCTGTTTCTCAAGGCGGCATAAAGTCACGCCTATTTCCATGAAGTTATATGAACAACCACTTAAGCAAGTCAAAACAATTAAATTTCTTGGGGTTTGGTTTGATGAGAAGCTCACCTGGAATACTCATTTAGATAAAGTTAAGAACAAGTGTAAAAAGGTCATCAATATACTTCGTTGTCTGTCAGGACAAGAGTGGGGAGCGAGCAGAGCAGCTCTACAAAATATATACTGGGCACTCATGAGATCCGTTTTTGACTATGGATGTGTAGCGTACATGTCAGCAGCAGAATCAAACCTTAAGAAGTTGGATGTATTACAAGCTCAGGCCTTGAGAATTTGCAGTGGATCAGTCAGAACATCTCCGGTGTGTCAGCAATGCAGGTGGAAATGGGAGAAATGCCGTTAAGAATCAGGCGAGTAAAGCTAATGTCGGCATACTGGGTTAATCTCCAGGGGCAATGTGACTCTCATCCTGCCAAGAGTCTCTTAATAGACTGCTGGGAACACAATGAGACAAATTTCAAAAGTTTTGGGTGGATTGGTGATGCAAAGGCAGAAGTCATAGGATTACGACAATTAGACTACAGCCCTACAGTGTCACAGTCTTCCATTCCTCCCTGGTTATTCCCAACACCAATTGTAGATCTAAACATACAGCAGGAGTTGAAGGATATGTCAAAGAAACTTCCAGCATGCAGTATAGTACAGAATTACTTTGATTTACATTTTTCAGACTCCATGTTTATATTCACAGATGGCTCCAAAGATCCTGATACAGGGCGTGCAGGTGCAGCAGTCTTTTTCCCAGCAAGTGAGTCATATATCAAGAAAAGAATATCAGATCATGTCTCAGTGTATACCACAGAGTTGACTGCAATAGTACTGGCCCTGCAGTGGATAGAAGAGAGGGAAACAAATAATACTGTCATTGCATCTGATAGCTTGTCTGCTCTAATGAGTATTAAATCTGGCAAATCATCATTTAGATCCAAAATCCTCAATGACATATTCCTTATATTGTACAGGATGGAGCTAAAAGGTTTATCCACATGCTTCCTTTGGGTTCCTGCTCATGTTGGTGTGGAGGGAAATGAGCAGGTGGATATTCTGGCCAAAGGAACACTCAAAATCAAACATGTAGACCTAAAAACCCCTTTAACTAAAGATGAAGCTAAGACATTTATCAGGACCTATGCACAGTCAGTTTGGCAGGAGCACTGGGACAACAGTGAAACTGGAAGGCACCTATATAATGTACAGAGACAGGTTGGTGCCGGAAGGATGGTGGGCTGGAAACGTAGGGAAGAAAATATAATCACTCGTCTGAGAATAGGACATACAGGTCTCAACCTTTCATTATATAAAATAGGTAAGCACCCAACTGGGAAATGTATATATTGTAACCAACTAGAAACGGTTGAACATGTTCTCCTTCAGTGTAGGAGATACACTATCAATAGGGAACGCCTCTTTCAGTCATTACGGAAGGCAAAACATCATGATATCTCATTGGCGGGTCTCTTGGGGAAAACAGCAGGCCAGATATATTGTCATATAATTAAGTTTCTTAAAGAAACTGAGTTAGGAAAAAGAATTTAATTTATGTTTATTTTTGTTTGGTTTATTTATTTATTTATTATTTTTTTCTTTGGTTTTGGTTTTGTTCATTTCATTTATTTCCTGCCTAATCTCTCGTTCCACACTCCAGTCCAGCTTGTGGCGGTAATGCACCGTTAAACTGGTTTGCCAACCGCCATTAAACCCTAAAGAAGAAGAAGAAGAAGAAGAGACACTCTGAGCTCTACACGCTCACCTGAGAGACAAAGAGACACTCTGAGCTCTACACGCTCACCTGGCTCTGTCACTGATGTCAGACTGATGGCGTTGATGACTTCAACTTTGCCTGGATTGTTTCTGTCTTTAATCCGACACTCATATGTTCCAGTGTCGTTGATGTTGACGTTCTTCAGAATCACAGAAGCGTCTCCGTCCTTCATCTCTGGATCTCTCAGCTCCACTCGACCACGATAAGATTCATGCTGGTAGTTTTCATATGAGCGGCCATCTCTGAAGTAGAAGACATAAATATCATCTGACTTCGGGTCAGTTCTGATCCACTTTATCATTTCTATGGTAGCACCTCTGTGACTCTGACACTGAAGAGTGGCGTCCTCTCCAGGCTTCACCTTCAGCTCCTGTGTCTCTGAACAGAAAGAGAAAAGCCTCCAGTCAGGACTTGTAATGTTTCCTGTTGTTCAAACATCTTTTGATGGAAGCAGCAGAGATCAGGTCTCTATAAAACAGCACATGTGAACTCAGCAGCATTTCAAACCCTGTTCTCAGACAACTTGAGTCCCAGCTGCAGAAAGGAGAGACTAACTCCTCTGCTGCAGCTGCACGCTGACTTCATGTTGCTCATTTCTACAGCTGTCAGTCAAGTCGTCCTCCGCACCATCAGACAGGAGACATTTTACTTTCATCTGCTTTCTGCTTGTTTGGAGATTATTGATTATTGATATTATTTCCCATCTGAATACAGACATCAGCATTTCTGAGCCTGAACAAACAGCTGAAATATTAAACATGTGAAGTTTATTATTTCCTAGAAGCTTTGAATCTTTGTCCTTGTTTTCCAAATGTGTCCCCAGTCTGTCCGTCCTCTACTCAGACTGTGTCTGAACTACTTCTACTGAGGAAAGAGTCCCTACAGTATGAAACTGCTTTACTTCTCAGAGAGACAAATGAAGCTGCTGGATCTGCATGGACAGACACCACGAGAGGGGAGAGGACACATGTTGGTCTCTGCTGTCCATCCGTCCACACAGTAAACTACAGTGCTGGACAGGAACAGAGGTCAGAGGTGGAGACTCTGTTCACATGTCAGCTCATAATAAACTTTACAAACATATCCAGCAGCCTGCAGAGTCAAAGTCTACAAAAAACTATATTTGAATATAAATTATAATGAACATGTTGTAAATAAATTTGAAAATATAAGTTATTCTAATAACAAGTTATAATAAGAGTAATTACTGTACAAACTGTTCAGACTACAGTTATTAACAAAGTTCTTAAGTAAGTTTCACACGTTTTAATGATCATTAAACAGTGAGTCTAATTTCCACGTCACTGCTGTGTTAAGATATTAAAAATAATAACAACCTCAAGTTCTTTATTTAAAACTTTATTTGTTCCTGACATTCATTTCAGGAACATAACAGTCTGTAACAGTCACAGACGGCCGGACGTTACATGACAATGGGGCAAGGTTACGTCACCATGACAGCAGTGGGGCAGAAATTACTTTTAAGATAAAGGCGAAGAAGAAACATTTATAAAGTCTATTTTAAGTGACTCCTACTAACAGAAACACGCTCCTCGTGCTGATAATGTAACTGTTAGCAGGCTTGTGTGGAGACAAAAAGGTAAAGAGGATTTGTGGTGTTGCCGTCTGGACAAAATGAGTATAAATGTTAGTTTCTGTTTGAGCACTTAGGCTCAGTGTATGAATGTGTGTGACTGGTGAATGCAGATGTAGTGTAAAAGCGCTTTGAGTGGTCGAAAAGACTAGAAAGGCGCTATACAAGTACGGGGCATTTACATTTACAGTCACGGCGGGGAGATCTGACAAGCGCTGCGCAGAGAGATGTGACACTGCACTGATGCCATGAAGAAAATAAATAAAATAATTAGGTAAAAGATCATGACTGTCCTACATATATCCACAGTTGTGTTTTTCCTAATAACAGACAGGTGACTTCAAGAACAAAATAATTAATTTGAGCGTTGTGTTTTGATTTTCACGTGTATTAATATTATAACAAATAGTATTATTAGTATTAATCTTCATTGAAAATCAATGAACCGGTAGCCACGCCCCCCACCCGAATTTCACCCATTCTCATCTTGTCACCCTAACACGGACACACACTCCTCTTACCTTGACACAGAACAAAGATCCATGAACATGTGAACAAAGCCACGAATGGCGGCCATGTTAAAGCGACCATGACTGACTTATTCTTTCTTCTCTGTAGTTTCTGTTGACAGCGGACCGCCTACGGTGATCTACAGTGATAATCTCTCGATCGTTGTCAGGTTAGGTCACATATTTAGAAGCAGAGATGATGAAGGTGATGACCAGACTGAATGCTTCTTCCTAGATATTTTACTTTTCAACAGTGCACCCGCCCAGCCGAGGGAGAGGAGAACGTGTCACGTGATTTCAAAGAAAGCTGAATCATTTGCTGCGTAACGTCACATTGGCCTTCTGAGGTTATAGTTGGGATTCCAGGGAATCTGGTTCGATCTTACTTTAGTGTTTTTGAACTGTAGCCAGGCGCGCGGAAGACATTTTGGCTTAGGGGTGGTGCAGAGAGGAAATGCGCTCATGCAGTGTTGAGTGTAACGCGCTACAAAAGTAACACAATTACAGTAATGTATTACTTTTTGCTGTAATACGGTTATATAAATAAATAGGTAATATAATACCCTTTACAATCTCAGTAACGCACATTACAGCTCTTTTAACCCGTAATTAAGTGATGTTTTATTAACAAAACACCACCAAGAAACATTTCCACACCAGAAAAACAAATCCATGAGTAAAAGAGTAACATTATTTCTTGTTGCTGGAATCCGGTGGTCGAGATTGTAGGCAGGGTGCAAACAACGGGGGAACCAGCTCCTCTTAACAAGACGGCAGCTCCCCTGATGGATCATGGGTAAATAGATTTCTATAGGCTGTGTGTTTGTGCTTTAACGAGTTACTTTCATTATCAGAGAGGCTGCTGTCAGTTCATCCTGGCCGATCCTGTCGGAGTGTCGGGAGATTCAAATAATCAATGACATTATGCTGTTGTACCTCGTGTGTAAAAGCGCACAGCGTCTTTCTTAATGGGGAGATGATTCATCCTATTCCACCCCCACACCCGCTATTAATCAGAAAGATAATGGCAAAGACCCACCCGATCCGCGGATATAACTGCACACCACTAGAAATCTATCTAGCACATCTTACTATCAGAATAATGCGCCCATTAAACAGCAGTGAAAGTAACGTAAAAGTAATGTAAATCATTACAATTCAGAGACAGTAATATTGTAATATAGCCTAACTAATTACTCCCAAATGACAGTAACTAGCAATCTATAATGTATTACATTTTGGAAGTGACTTGCACAACATTGCGCGCAGTGGGCACGCACTTGCCTATACACACTTACTTTTCCTTACAAGCATGGTGTATGAGGTCACCAAGGTCCGGACCTCCGTAATTATATGTATATATGTATGTATAAATAAAACAATTTGAATAAAAACCATTGATAACACGATCAACCTCAACGAAGGCCATCTGTGCGCAGCTGATTACACCGTCTCCACCATCATTTCAGCTTGAAAAACTGTTCCATGCTCAGTGTCCACCCTTGGGGAAACACAATAAGCACATGAAAACCTTATGCGTGGAATAATTGGGAGCACCGCTGCAAAACGTTTTGTGACTTTCCGGGTGGGTGAAATAGGGTTGAAGAGTCTCCCTATTAAAAGAGACTCTGTGCGCATTTGAGTATGGGGCACAGCAGCATAATATTTAAATTGACACGCTGACAGGATCAGTCAGATTCTAATGATAATTGATGTTCTGTGTGACACATAAGGTCTCACACACAGTCCAGGTTCATACAGTGAAACTGTTTGGAGTAAAGCAGCCGTCCTCCTGATCCATCAGAGCTTCTCAATTATTTCAGAAACTAAAATGTCTGGCCAAATGATCTTTTAGACGGACATATTTTTAAGCAGGTTATTTTTATTCAGCTTGATAATTGCATTTATTTTGTTGAAAGGTATTTTATTAAGTATTTTATTCATTCGCATGATTGCCGTTACAGTTCAGTTCAAAAACACTAAAGTAGCCTACGAGGAAGATCGAATCAGACGTGAGCTTTTTTTTGCAACATATAAGCTTGCGGATGGTACCAGGCTGGAGGGCAAGAGAGGAGAGGGTCTAGACTGCAGGGTCCGTGCACGTTTTGATAGTTTGAACCAATAAACGAATAAACGAGAAAACCACCTTTTTTTTCGTTTGTCGTTTCAAACCAAAAACGAAGAAATGGAAAAAAGAGCCGTTCTCCCGTTTTTGGTTTCTGAATCCGAAAACGACTAAACCAAATTCAAATAATGGTCCGATTTTGGTTTTATGAAATTCCAATTTTTGATTTTCCGTTTGAAGACAGACGTTAAGAAAAGAAAGACAGGTGACCCGGAAGTAAGAGTACAGATATTAAAATAAAAGCCAAGCTTTTACAACGGTCGGATCTGTAATGTTATGCAGCACTTACATTATAACAAGGTGATGTTAGATGAAAGTAAATAAATAAACCTGGACCGAGAGAAATACGTTAGCAACAGCAGTTGATTACATGCACTACAATATTGTGCTTTTATTCATGTAAACAGCAAGAGTCACGTTTTTTAAGCGCATTGTTTGGTGCAGTACAGTTGGTAGGCTAATATAGGTAACCCTAAGAAATGATTGTGTGTGCAGAGTTGTTACTGTCAGTGCTATATTTTTAATATTAAATAAATATTTAATGTGGTTTCCACCGCAATGAACCAAGTGCTGTTTCCCCTTTCTACCAGCAGGTGGCAGGATTTAAATGAAGGCCTGTACTGTTGCTTTATTAAATGTTTGCCCTTCTGCTCTAACCTGGTTCTAACACTGCTGTCAGCTTCTCAGAAGCTCTGACAACAAACTCACGTCAGAAATGTCCTAATGTTGGCCATCTGGCCAAAAGAAGGATTTACCAGTGTGCTATTTACTGTGGCATTGAATGTACAATCAATGGCTATAGACTATATTAATATATGTTCTGCAGCCATAGATTCTACATTCAATGCCACTAAAGTATGTATGTGCTATATATGTTGATGGAAAAATTTGTTTGGATTCTCTTCACTTGCATGAGACAATGGGAGTTATACACACTAGAATGTGTATGGAGAAGAAATATAGTATATATAGCACACTGGTAAATCATTATTTTGGCCAAGATGGCCTACATTAGGTCATTAGGATATGTTTGCAAACCACATGTTATTACATGTGAGTGTGTGTGTAGCAGTACATTTAAATCAAAAGTGTGCAATACACTACTTTAGAATTCATAATTCAATTTTGCACGTAACAATGCGATTAAAAATTTTAATCGTTGCCCAGCACTAACTTTAATATGAAAACATGCTAATACTGTCATTTATACTAGCTCCTCCTCCAGGTTGTGTCTGTGCTACTAACGTTGTTCATCACTCAGTTTATTCTCTTCAGCTTAGTTCCCTTCTGGCCTTTTTGAATTCTGTTCTATTGATCAAGTGGTTGATGAAAGTTTTCACTGCAGGCAAGCTTTGCAGTAATGTTGCACACAGTCTGTGTCAGACAATGGGTTTTCACAGGGAATCCAACAAGTCCTTCACATAGAAACAGTAGGCCTATACAGGCTGTGAGAGGCAACTGAGAAAGTTGGTGAATGTTTAAATTTTTAGGTGACGTTACAACCTGCTCACACACAGACAATAACAATGTTATAAACATATTTAAATTCCTTTTCAAAACTCCACAATTCCCCCTTTAAAGGTGCGTCGCTGACTTAACTGGTTACAGGTCAGAGTTGCGCAGCAGTCATAAAATATGTTGAAAAGGTCTTGAAACAGGTCTTAAAGGGTATTTTAACTGCAGAATTCCTGTTCTGTCCTTCTTACAACCCCTTGTGCAAGTTGACAGGCAGTTTAACTCCTTCTCTAACCACCACGCTGGACGAAGGTGAATCGTTCACTTCTTGATTGATAACCAGAGAGAGGATAAAACTAAAACAGAGACATGAACAAATGGCTGCTATAAGTCGTTACGTTGAACTGTTGTTCATATAATACACATGTAAATTAACTTATTAATTCAACACAATGAAATAGTTATTTAAAGGTGTTTAGCTATGAGGTTAGTCTGGGCTATCTAGATTGTACAGCAACCAGCATTAACATGTAGAAATATAAATGCTCAATTGACTCAACTAGCATGAAATATCCCTCTGAAGTGATAGATGATAATTTAAAGAACATTTACGTACCGACGATGCTCGTTTGTGGCTTAAACGTGAGCAGATGTGCTTCAACTCATTACAAATCAGAAAGAATAGGCCTACTCGTCTGGAGACATTCCTGAGCGCTTCCTGATGACCTCATCAAAAGGTGCCATTCAGTAAACAATAGCTGATATTATGCAGTCTTTAGTGTACCACTAGGGGGAAACAAAACATAGCAACACATACTCTGCTAAACATAAAGAACAGTGCAATTCCTGTGTATACCCTGGGTAAGGTAAGTCAGTAATGACAGCAATGGAAAGCGTATAATCATAATATACTAAGATAAGATAACTTTATTAAGACAGAGCAGCACAGAGAAATGTGGAAGAACAGATACAGTCGAATCAGTAACATTCAACATAGATGTTTAAATATAAATAAACTGTATACTCACAATATATGATCGTTATACAATTAATATTCTAGATGTTTAAATATTAACACATCATTTGCACACTATATATAATCAATAAACTCTAATTCATTATCAGATCATTTACACCCAGATAAATGTTTGAAATATACTCAGGAACAGTCTCTCAGTTTGGTGCTGTGGTGTTGTGGAGCCTGACGGCACAAATGAGCCTCCTGAGTGCTGTGAGGCTCGGGGCTGAATGAGTCTGTGGCTGAAGGAGCCCCTGAGCTGCCTCAGCTCAGCAGAGAGAGAATGAGAGGAGTTGTCCATGATGGTTTTCAGCTTCCTCTCATCCTCCGCTCAGTCTCTGCCTCCACACTGTCCAGTTCCATCCACACCACCGAGCTGGCCTTCCTCACCACCTTGCCCAGTTTGTTGGCGCCACAAGTCCCACCGCCCCCTCCCCAGCACACCACAGCGAGGAAGATGACACTGGCCCCTACAGACAGGTAGAACATCTGCAGCAGCCTGGTGCACACATTGAATGACCTGAGACTCCTCAGGAAGAACAGCCTGCTCTGTCCTTTCCTGTAGAGGGCCTCGTGTTGTCTGTCCAGTCCAGTTCCCCTTCGAGGGAACTCGAACTGCGTCGGTTACGACACTATGGGAACGCCTCTAGGCGAAGCAGGTCTGAACGTGAATGACATCACTC